AATTTGACAAATGACAAGGAAACGTCTTCGGTTTAAATGCGGGTATTAGATGACGTGTCCAAGTATAAACTTCACTATGGAGATTTATCTAGATCTAATTTGTAAAGTTTCTCCTATCGTTATAAGGGAAAGGTTTTAAAATAATTATACCCAAACCCACGCTTACAATTTGACAAATGACAAGGAAACGTCTTCGGTTTAAATGCGGGTATTAGATGACGTGTCCAAGTATAAACTTCACTATGGAGATTTATCTAGATCTAATTTGTAAAGTTTCTCCTATCGTTATAAGGGAAAGGTTTTAAAATAATTATACCCAAACCCACGATTACAATTTGACAAATGACAAGGAAACGTCTTCGGTTTAAATGCGGGTATTAGATGACGTGTCCAAGTATAAACTTCACTATTGAGGTAAAGTGCCTATCTCAAGGGCACAAGATTGGTGGCATGTAAGCACTCGAACCCGGGACCTGTTGGTTCTGAGTCGAGCACTCTGCAGTTACGCCACACTCTTCCACTGCCCAAGGACATAACACGCGTAATCTTACTGCCCAAAAGGATGTGAGGTCAATTTTTAGCGGTTTCGCAAAGAATTCTGAAGTACATGGTTGCAGCAGGTAGGGCTGGGGAGGGGTGAATAGCTCGGTCTTGATGTCATGAACTATGACGAACCTACATGTACCTTCGTTGTCCTTTACAAGGAAGCGTCGTCGGTGGAAAAATGCGGATATCAGATGACCTGTCCAAGTATAAACTTCATTGTTGTAAATTTTCGCCTCCCCAGGGAAAAGATTTAAAATCAGACTTAGACCCACGCTGACAATGTTACTAATGACGAGGAAACGTTGTCGGTGAAAAATACGGGTAGTTGATGACCTGTCCAAGTATAAACTTCACTATTGTAAACTTTCCCTAGCCTCTACCAGGCTTCGGGAGGCGGTTGGAAAGAGTAGAAATCGGCCAAATAGAGAGATAACATGCCAGGGAAGTTTGTCTGCTGGGAGAGAACATTTCGCGGGTGCGGCAAAATGTACTCTCCCGGCAAACAAACTCCCCTGGCATGTTATCTCTCTATTTGGCCGATTTCTACTCTTTCCAGCCGCCTCCCGAAGCCCGGTAGAGGCTAAACTTTCCCCTCCAGGGAAAAGTTTTGAAATTAGACTTAGACCCACGCTGACAATGTAACAAATGACAAGGAAGCGTCTTCGGTGGAAAATGCAGGTGTTAGATGACCTGTCCAAGTATAAACTTCACTATTGAGATTTATTTAGTTTGTAAACTTTCCCCTCTCTCGTTATCAAGACAAAGGTTTAAAATTAGACCCAGACCCACGCTGACAATGTAACAAGTGACAAGGAAGCGTCTTCGGTGGAAAATGCAAGTGTCCAAGTATAATAAACCTCACTGTTGAGGTTTCTTTAGTTTGTAAATTCTCCCCTCTCGTTATCAAGACAAAGGTTCAAAACTAGACCCAAACACGGGATTACAAAGTAACTAATTACAATGAAACGATCTTATACCAGATAAGTGAATTAACCACCTGTACAAAGAACAATACACGTCAACTTAATTAAGACGGTTACAAACTTTCCTCTTCCTTTACCTGGAAAAGTCCCTGGAAACGTCGTCGATGAAAAAATGCGGGTATTAGATGACATGTCCATGTGTAAACTTCACTGCTGAGGTTTATTTAGTTTGTAAAGTCTCCCCTCTCGTTATCTAGACAAAGGTTTAAAATTAGACCCAGACCCAGGCTGACAATGTAACAAATGACAAGGAAGCGTCTTCGGTGGAAAATGCCGGTGTTAGATGACCTGTCCAAGTACAAACTTCACTGTTGAAGTTTATTCAGTTTGTAAACGTTGCCCTCTCGTTATCTAGACCCGCGCTTACATAGTAACTTATGACAAGGAAACGATCTTATACCAGATAAGTGAATTAACCCACCTGTGCAAAGAACAATACACGTCAACTTAAATAAGACTGTTACAAACTTTCCTCTTCCTTTACCGGGAAAAGTCCGTCTAGTAGTTTCAAACCGGGCTATATTTGGTGATATACCTGCACAGATTAGCGTATAGCTAATTACAAAACTTCAAATCAGTTATCGACCTTTACAGAGTAAAACTTTCCTCTTCCTGTACATAGAAAAAATGTGTCCAGGTGTGTTTTTGCCTACGTGTGCCCATGAGTATGCCGTCAGTGCCAGTTTATTTGTAACCAACAACTACTTCATCTTCCTGCACAAAGTCATAATTACAAGGTTGCAAACATTTCTTTTTCGTTTACCAAGAAAAATATTTCTGTGTGTTTCAAACCCGACCAAATTTAGGCATACACGTGCGTTAAGTGCGTTAAGTCCAATGATAAGAAAATATTTCTGTGATATAGATTGATAACGGTTACAAGCTAAAACAAGTGTGCACAATTTTCCAAACCAAGTTCTTCAAATCTAGGTTCAACTCAGGGAGGTTTAACTGTTTGGAAAACGATTTTGTAACTGAGGGGTGAGCTCAGTTTCTCGAGGTTGGGGCGGGCTCTCTTCGGGGCTGGTGACGCTCTTTCCCGCCCGACTCAGTTAGGTTCCCCCGTAGGTTGGCGGTAGTCCAATTTGACCACCACGTACAAAACTTGTACAGGCGTAACATCCCCACCGGGCGGCCTGTTGAGCTGGGCGGGGAAAAAACTATTATAGCCCCCAAGACAGCCTGTCCTAACCACAGTAGACTGGATACCCGACCAGTACACCACGGCCATAATTTTGCACTTTGTACTCTCTGCTACCGTTAACAAAGGCATGCCTTTGTTGAGCAAACCATAGCTGTTTACTTACTGATTGGTTTACTGAACATGACAAACACTGCCTTACAAAAGTGGCCGGCGATTATGGCGTTCTTTCTTTACTGCAGAGTCAGTTGGACTTTTCTTCTTCTTCTTCTTTTCTTTTCTTCTCTTTTGAAGAAATAATATAGACTTGGTTATATTCTTGTCAACTCTTGATCAGCTAGCTGTTGTAACTTCTCAATTCATCTATTTATTTACGGATTTGTAAAGGAAGACTAAAGATATGAAATATGTTTACGTCATATTTAAGCACACTGAAAGGTAACGGAAAGGCGCGGAATTTGCCTTTCAGCAGCCTTTACGAAGTCGTTAAGTCTACTGAAATATTTTCTCAACTTTAATACTTCTTAACATATTGCGGAAAGTTTGATTAAATATCTGTTTTCGTGCTGTACTAACTCCTCACTTAAAGCAGTTTAAGCAAAGTTTAGACCTGTTAGTCACATATACTGTTAGGACTTGAAACCCTTTCCTATCCGATCACTGCATTATATTTTCATGGCAGAACTGATGCAACGTCAGAACAATTTAAATACGATAACTTTATTAAATATTGCTTCTCAAAAATACACATGGTGATAAATAAATTAAACCTATTGTGGCTTGCACAATTACAAAATACATTAGTGACAAGTAGATGGCATATATAGTATGCCAGTGAAATGAAACTTGACTGGCACGCGCGTATATGCTGCTTTATCAATTACTGAAGCTAGCTAGATATCTCTTTATACATTACATGGGTAATAAACTTATAGTGAAACGTATACGCTTAATGGTTATAAATATTTGAGGTTAACTCTCCATAATCAATAAATACATAAATTCAGCAATGTCATAAAAGCAGCACCTGTTTCAAACTAGAATACTTTGCCGTCGTTAAGTTGCGAATATCAAAAATTTTTGCTTATTCATAGCAGCTTACACATTGCATTTATACTAATGCCTAGTCTGTGACTGGTATCTCTCACACAGTATGTGGTATTCTTGTCAATATACACACTTAAAACCTGATTGATGTATGGAATGTTATTGTATGGTGCTGAGAATGCATGTGCATGTAGTTTAACACCTTTATAACTTCTCCAACGTCTTTCTGTCCTAAAGTGGCTATACATTCCCAAGCTTTAACATACATGGACATGATAGGTCTCATTCAGGGACAACTCAACATGTCTGTGAGTTCTGAACAGTCCCTGATGTTCTCTAGGTTCTCTACTTTATCCACACACTCCTGTACCACACTACCCGGCAGAACGGCCTCGGCGTTGTCCCTGAACTTGGCGACGACGTCGTCCCGTCCCAGCGGCCGCCTCCAGTGTCCGTACGGCTCCGTACAGCGCGACGTCACGACGGTGCCGTCACGTAGACGAACCTCGACGTCCACGTACATGGTCTCGAAGCACTTGACGTTCTCCGGGGAGTGTCGGATGTCCGTGCGGCGGAGGAGGCTGGTGAGTTGCGGGCGGTGGAGCAGGGCGGGCCCGAAGGACTGGCGGCTAACCGTCCCGTCCAGCAGCGTGGTGCAGACGTTAAACTGGAAGGAGTGGCGAGCCTCGTGTTCACACTTTGGGATGGGGCGATTCACATAACCACATCTGTCAAGAAAGAAAGAAAGAAGAAGGAAATAATGAATGAATGAATGAATTGATTAATTAATTAATGGTTTATTTACAACTCATATATACATTATACACAGTACATACAGACACCAAACTCGTGGGTAACCTTATTACTTGCTAAAGTTTGCTTTGGCCAACATAATGCACCGTGCTATTAAAATTGTATTATAAAAACATTATTGCTTAAATTCTTATCAACTACTAGTATACGCATTCCTTTGCATTAGACATTACGCATTCCGTAGTTACTAGTAGTTAGAAAAAAACTCCAGTCAGAAGCTCTGAAGAAGGTGTCTGATAGACATCAAAATGTAAGCAAGGTAGGAAGAATACCTGGTTGTGTATAAGAAAATCCCAATATCCTATGTTCTACCAACCTGATGAAAGTATTTTTGGAAGGACGGATGACTTACTTGGGGGCATGGACGACCACCTGGCGGATCTTGTCCGTGTCGACAGTCCCGTCATGCATTGCCAGTTTCCCGCGAACCTCTGCGGCGGCGTCCGAGGCCCAGTGTGTGCCCAGGTGCGCCGGAAACCGCTTAATCGCCACGTCCTGAAATTTCATAATTGTCATTCATCATTTTGTTGTTGATTCTAAATTATATAGAAATGAGAGAGATGACCTCTATACTTGTATACAATATAGGTTTCCCTGCTTTAATTTAGACATTTTGATAGAACAGAAATATTCGTATTCCTTCTGAAACTAGACAAACCATGTATCATTAGCCCCATATATTCATACTACATACTACAACGAGAACCTATAAATAGTAGTTCACATTAGTATGTGTAGTTTTAGTAAGATTACTGTAATTTTCACTTCTGTTTTATTCATGACCTCACGATACTTAGTTCGTAAGAGCATAAACGTGCAAGTTCTTTCGTTCATTAGTATCAAACCGCCATACTGATGGCACTCTGTGCGGCTTCATAAAATACACTTTGCCATCTTTCACATGGTACAACTTGTCGCCACAATTCGTCTTGAACAAACACTACTTTCAGCCTGTCAGTATATAGCCTGGATGTCAGACCTATTGCACGCTAGACGCAGAGTTACTAGCCAGCGTGTGACGGTCAGGGCCTAACTGAGGTATAATTTCCTTGGGGGTATGTTGGCCTACGAAAGTTGGTCCTGGAGCCGAGGAGCTGGTCTGTATAGGCCCTGGAAACGGTCTGGAACCCAGACTTACTGAGGGGGTCGTGGTATGATTTCCTTGGGGGTATGTTGGCCTATACGAATGTTGGCCCTGGAGCCGAGGAGCTGGCCTGTGTAGGCCCTGGAAACAGTCTGGAACCCAGGCTTACTGAGGGGGCTGTGGTATGATTTCCTTGGGGCATGTTGGCCCTGGAGCCGAGGGGCTGGTCTGTATAGACTATGGAAACAATCTGGATTCCAGGCTAACTGAGGGGGCTGTGGTATGATTTCCTTGGGGCATGTTGGCCCTGGAGCCGAGGGGCTGGTCTGTGTAGACTATGGAAACAATCTGGATCCCAGGCTAACTGAGGGGGCTGCGGTATGATTTCCTTGGGGCATATTGGCCCTGGAGCCGAGGGGCTGGCCTGTGTAGGCCCTGGAAACAGTCTGGCACCCAGGCTAGTCAGTATAGAGCACGCATGAGTAAACTCACCTGTTTTTCAAGCAGATGTCCGCCGTTGAAGTCCTGAAGCGTCTCGGGAACGAAGTCGTCGAAGAAGGCGCCGAAGCCGCTGCGCATGTCCAGGATGTGCGGGTTGCCCTTCATCCCTACAGACGCCAGCAGAGCCGCCTCCAGACCGAACCTGGCCGCGTTCCCGGCGTGGAGAGGCTTGGCCGTGGTACCGGCGTTAGCCATCGGAGCACCTGAGGGAGGGGAGGTTTAAAGTTGCATTATGTAACATCAAGGACATTATGGAAGCTTCTTGGTAACATTAGGACGATACAAAAACAGTCAATTTTTTTGTCATTTCTTTACAATGTAATTTGGATCAACCTCACTCCATTACAAATAAGTGCCAGGAAATCAGAAATTCTAGGTGCAAAAATATGAGTGTCAGTTGTATTTGTTTACATTCTGGTAGTTTGTGGTGGCACCATAAATTGAGTGTGCCTTGTGTAGGCTGTTTTAGCACCAGAGGTCTGAGATAATTGCACAAATATGTTGAAAACTGGAATTAATTAGATAATAATTACAATCACACGAAG